CATTGGCAACAGAGTGGATGGCTCTGGAGAACATTATGCTAAGCGAAATAAGCCAGTGGAGAAAGGTATCACATGATCTCACTCATATGTGGACTCTAATGAACAACATAAACTGATGAACAAAAATAGACTCAGAGACATAGAAGCATTGAACAGACTTTCAAACCTCAGAGGGAAGGCAGGGGAGAGGGGACGGGGAAGAGATCAATCAATGAACTCATAGGTGTATAGTATATTCATAACCCTTGGACACAGACAACACGTTGGTGAAGGCCTGGTTGGGGCCAAAAAGTTACAAAATCACCTTCTCACCCTGGCTTGTTTGGCTCAGTGGATAGAGCATTGGCTTGAAGACCGAAGGTTCCATTCTGGTCAAGGACATATAGCAGGGTTACAGGCTCAATCCCCAGTGGGGGCCATGCAAGAGGCTGCCCATCCATGATTATCTCTCATCATTGATATTTCTATCTCTCCCTCTCCCTTCCTCTCTGAAATCAAAATCAATAAAAATATATTTAAACTAGAGGCCCTGTGTACGACGCTAATGCACTGGAGGTGGGGGGAGAGGGGGTGGAGGGCGGGGGAGAGCATCCCTCAGCCTGACCTGTGTCTTTTTTTTAAATATATTTTATTGATTTTTTTACAGAGAGGAAGGGAGAAGGATAGAGAGTTAGAAACATCGACGAAAGAGAAACATCGACCAGCCACCTCTCGCACACCCACCACTGGGGATGTGCCCACAATCAAGGTACATGCCCTTGACCGGAACCTAACCCAGAACCCCTCAGTATGCAGGCTGACGCTCTATCCACTGAGCCAAACCAGTTATGGCCTGACCTGTGTCTTCATCACCGTCTAGGACCCCTCGGGGGATGCCCGCCTGCTGGCTTTGGCCCATTCTCTGCAGGGAACCGTTGTAAGCCGGCAGTCAGACAACCCTCAAAGGGTCCTTAATGCTGCTGTGGAGGCAGGAGAGGCTCTCTCCACTGCCACAGCTCTCGCCAGCTGTGAGCTCGGCTTCTGGCTGAGTGGCACTACCCCCGTGGGAGAGCACTGACCACCAGGGTGCAGCTCCAGTGTTGAGTGTCGTCCCTCTGGTGGTCAGTGCACATCATAGCAACCAGTCGTTTCCCTGTGCGGTCTATTTGCATATTAGGGTTTTATTATATAGGATAAAAATAAAATACTATATAATAAAATACTAATATGCTAATTTTGTTGGGTCATCCAGTTGGCAATTCAACCAATCAAAGTGTAATATGCTAATTATATGCTAAAGCTAAACTGCTCACTATGATGTGCACTGACCACCAGGGGCAGTCAGCCGGTTAACCAGTTCTTATGACATGCACTGACCACCAGGGGGAAGATGCTCTGACTGGTAGGTTAGCTTGCTGCTGGGGTCCAGCCAATCGGGACTGAGTGAGATAGGCCGGACATGCCCTGGAGCCCTCCTGCATCCCTCCCCAGCCACAATCATGCACCTGTGGGGTCCCTCGACCTAGCCTGTGCTCTCTCCCAATTCAGGCTGAGGCCTCCCCCCCCCCTCCCCGCCAGAGTGCATGAATTTCATGCACTGGACCTCTAGTCTCAAATATGTAAATATATAACTAACCACCCCCTTCCCAAAGGGCAGAGAGTAGGATTGGTTTAGGGCAGTGGTTCTCAACATTCCTAATGCCGCGAGCCTTTAATACAGTTCCTCATGTTGTGGTGTTCTCCAATTTCATAGTTACAAATTGAACATAATTAAAGCATAGTGATTAATCACAAAAACAATATGTGATTATATATGTGTTTTCTGATGGTCTTAGGTGACCCCTGTGAAAGGGTCGTTTGACCCCCAAAGGGGTCGAGACCCATAGGTTGAGAACTGCTGGTTTAGGGGGATGTTTCTTCAAACCTGTGCTATTTAAACAACTCTCGGACATGGAGAAAAAAGACAGATGGGCTGGTTTCAAGCAACCCTGCTCAGGACAAGGGGGGCTGTGCCCCAGTCCTGACTCAGCTGCCATTTAGGGGAGAGGGTGGCTACTCACCCAGTCAGGCCCACAGCACTCAGCCAAGCCATATTGATTCACCCTCAGGGTAGCTGCCTTCATCCCCTCAGCTAAACTGACCCATTTTCTCCCATCTCAGAGGAAGAATGCTCCTGTCTACCCCTCTAAGGGAACGTGGGGACACTGAGGCACAGGGAGGGGTGGTTCCCAGAGCAATCCTCACTTGGATGAAGTTAGGAATAAAGGAGCTAGGAGCTAAGGCAAAGGAGAGGCTGGGTGACTTCTGTCCTGGAGAAAACAGGACGCCAGGGGTGGGCGCCAGGGAGCAGGGGGGAGCCCTTGGCCATCCCTATGGATATGCTGAGGGCCCAGAAAGAGGAGTTCTTTGTTTGAGATCTAGGCTGGAGGGGAAGGTGTTTCTTTGTGGAGTGGGTGGTAGGTCTTGGGAGCCCTCAGGGCCTTTTGAGGTCAGATGCCTCCAAGATGCTGACCTGCTGGGCTCCGCTTGGACACGGGGCTCAACCAGGTTGCTCCAGGCCCCTCCGCGGCTGGCCTGGGCCATGGACTCAGAGACTTCTGGTCCCTGTGCAAAATGACACTGTCAGCGACACACTGAGGGAGCTGGGTCTCCAGTCTGGTGACTTGTCCAGGGGACTGAGTGGGCTCTTGATGGCTCCTTGGAAATAGTTGCTTTTCTTTTTTTCTTTTTGTTAATCCTCAACCGTGGATCTTTTTCCATTGATTTTTAGAGAGAGTGGAAGGGAGGGGAGGAAACAGAGAAACATGGGTGTCAGAGAATCACATTGATTGGTTGCCTCCGGCACACACCCGGACTGGGGCCGGGGAACCTGCAACCAGTTACATGGCCTTCACCAAAATCGAACCCGGGACATTTCAGTCCTCAGGCCGATGCTCTATCCACTGAGACACACCAGCGAGGAGATGGTTGCTCTGAATGCAGGTGACAGTGGGCTCAGCGCCCCAGGGAGGCGAGCGAGATATTGACCAAACAAAGACGCAGTAACCCGGACTCCAGGCAGATGGCGCCCAGAGAACCGCATGGAGACAGAAGGAACCACCCCGCAGCCCATGGGCCTCTTCCTCCCAAGGCGGGTCCCTGGGTCTCTTTGCTCCCCTTATAGGAGCCTCTTGGAGCGTCCCCTACCCAATTGCGCCAGAGGGGGGCACTGTTGCCTGTGAGTGAAACCAAGTTAAGTCCCCGAAGCGCGGATAAGTGGTGCCCGTCTCCCCACCCACAGCCATCACACAACCGGGATCATCTCAGCCTGCGGGCAACCTGAAGCGCAGTGTGGCCCCGCATCCCTCACCTCGGACCTTGTCCCAGGGCCCAACTTCTTAGGCAGATCTTCCCGCCACTGGGCGTCCTCCTGGCCTCCACGTAACAATGTAGCTGGGGCGGTGCCAGCGGCCTTATTTCCATACGAGGAGGCTCGGCCAATGAGCAGGGCGGGAGCTTGGGAACGCGCTGTTAACCAACCGCCCGCCCGCGCAGGTGCCAGAGTGATCGCGGCCCTGGAGGCGGACGCTGCGGAGCCCAGCGCTGGGGGATCGGCCCTGGCGCCCCTTCCCCCGGCGCTGCGCGTCCGCGAGTCCCGACCCAGCTTAACTCCGACGCAGTTCCCGGCGCCTCCGTCAGGGTTGTCTGTGGGGAGGCTGATGAAGCAGATACTCAAAGCCAGCCAGGTGGGGGCGCGGAGCGGGGCGCAGAAAAGTGGGGGGCTGAGACCCCGAAGCTCCGGAACCCCTGGGGCTCCAGATCTTCCCGCCTACGAGTGCGCGGAGGTGGAGTCAGGGTCTCGGGGTTGAGAACGTGGCGGATCGCAGGGTCTCAGCGCGGAGACGGGGGCGACCGGGGACCCCGCTCGTGCCTCTCCCCCCTTCCCACGCGCTGGGAGGAGGACGCAGGGAGTGCGGGGACCCTGCCTCGGGCCCGGGGATCCCCGCGCGTGAGCCTAGCGATGGACCCGCTAGACTTCGCCTCCTCGGGCCAAGATTCTCCTCCCCCTTAGTCTCTCCAGGTCACCCCGGCCTGGCCCCCAGGCGGGGTGGACACCTAGATGGGTGAGTCAATAGTGTTAGACACACCCCCACGCATGCGCAGAGGATAACAGACAACACCGCGGGCGCGTCCTGGAAACTTCCCGGAGGAGGAGGCGATGTCTTGGTCCTGGGAGAATGAAGTAGGAGGAGCAATTGGGGATTGGAGGCTGGGAGGAAAGGAGGAAGGGCGTTCTGTGCTGAGGAAGCAAGACAACTGGCCTGGAGGCGTGAGGTGTGTT